TGGGGCCTGAACTCTGGGCCTGGGCGCTGTCCCTCAGCTCTTCAGCTCAAGGCTAGCACTCTACCACTTGAGCCACAGCGCCACTTCCGGCTTTTTTCATTTTGCTTATGTGGTGCTGAGGAATCGAACCCAGGGCCTCAGGCATGCAAGGCAAGCGCTCTACCAGTGAGCCACCTTCCCAGCCCCGAGGTAGAAATCTTTTAAATAAAAATCTGCCTCCTGCAACATTCTGGAAGGTATATTAAAGGGGTTTGTTTGTTTACTGTGTAGATCCTGGGGCTTGAACTCAGAGCCCTGGGTGCTGCCTGAGTTTTTTGTTCAAGGCTAGTGCCTTTCTACTTGAGCCACATCTCCACTTCTGGCTTTTTGGTGGTTAACTGGCATTAAGAGTCTCATAGACTTTGCTGCCCAGACTGGCTTCAAACGTTGATCCTCAGGTCTCAGTCTTCTGAGTAGCTAGGATTACAAATGTAAGCCACTGCCATCTGGCCGGTAGCTGCATGTTTAACTGGCCATCTAGTAGTCTAAAGTTCTACAATGTAGTAGATAACTAATTTTTTTTTTTTTGTAACATTCACTGATGTTAATGAGAGTGATACTCATTCAGTAAACAGTGAGTGTCTACTATGGTTTGGGACCTTTGGATCTAGGAAGCCCTAACAACTCTCTTAGTTATCCTTGACTGCATCAGACTAAACCTCTGAATCCTTCACTTTTTACTAGTGACCAAAATGACACTTAGCAGAAGAAAGTAGCTGATTTCAAATTCCTTTGACTAGGAGGGTTCAATGATATAAAACACAGTTTTCAACTATTTCCTAACACATTCTGTCATCTAACATTTAGAATCTTAGAACTAAAAGCCAGCTCTATTATACACTTGTAATCCCAGCACTCAGGAGGCTAAGGTAGAAGGCTCTCAGAGTTAGAGACCAGTATGGGCTACAGAGTAAATCTAGGTAAAAGCTAGACCCTGTGACAAAACAAAAACAAATCTTAGAGCTAAGACAGACCTAAGGAATCTCTTACTTTATAGACTCTAAGAAATAAGGGCTCCAGGAAAAGAAAATGACTTGCTTAAGGACACCAAGACAATTTTACAAGATGACTAAAATACTACTTAGTGTTCCATAAGTATTATGCCTCTGGCTTTAAGAAACATACCCATGTACCTTTAAAAAGCTCTCATATTTCTTTGTACTGCTTTCACCAAAACTGCTCTGGTGAATTCTAGCTAACCAAAGTATCTATTTTAAGGGAAAGGAAAGAATGTAGCCAGTGATTGAAATTTTACACATCTACTGCTTTAAATGCACTGTCATTTTATCCTTACAATACTCATACTTTATCAAAAGAGAAAACTGAAGATTCAGAATATCTAAGTAATTATCCTTAAGTGACTAAATAGTAATCCAGATCTCACTCAAAGCTCACACTCTGGCCTCTGCCTAACTATTGATATCATCAATGAGTACTCGTTTCTTGATTAAAGAACAGCTGAGAAGTGGTAGAGTGCTTACCTTGCATGCATGAAGCCCTGGGTTCCATTCCTCAGCACCACATAAGCAGAAAAAGCCTGAAGTGGTCCTGTGGCTCAAGTGGTAGAGTGCTAACCTTGAGCTGAAGAGCTGAGGGACAGCACCCAGGCCCAGAGTTCAGACCCCACAACAGACAAACAAAACAAAAACAAAACCCCACAACCTATGTATTTCAAAGGCAGAATCACACTTTGCTGCTAATCATCTTTTTAAAAAGGTAAAGCTACAACTTTTTACATCATGGTTGCGATTGTTGCTTATGGTATATGAATTATAGTTTTTCACCAGACAAAATTAAGACACACTTTTCCCCTACACTCAAGTGAAAAATAAAGAAACTGTAAGCCCAGGGGCACAAAATGAACAAAACAGAGGACTAGCTATGTCATTTCTCATTAACACCAAGTTAGAGTTCTTGTAAATCTCACTTTACTCTTTAGATCCTTTCTGGCAGCAAAATGAACAATTACCTCATTTGAATTTAATCCATCAGTTGCAGCCAAAGGAACTTTCTCATGTAGAGCTGTGCCAGTCACTTCTTTTATTCCAAATGCTGAAGAATCAAGGTCTTCCTTGATCCTCATTTCAGTGAGGGAAGCCTCCTCATGAAAAGAGGTTCCTTCTTCTGAGAAAGGCACTGAATCAGTTTGGGCAGTACTTCCCTGGAAGGGTTCACCAGTGGTAAAAACCTCCTCCAAAGGAGGCACTGCAGCAGCTGGGATAGCAGGTCCTTCTGGGGTGAATACACTGACAGGCTTTGTTGGGGTGGGTTCTGAAGGAGCTGGGGTTGCACAGTCCTCTGCATCAGACTCTGTAAACAGCTCCTCTGGGGAGGGCACTGCAACAGCTAAGGCATTAGGCTTCTCTGGGGTAGAAGGCCCTGCGAGAGTTAGGGCAGCAGGCTTCTCTGGGGTGGTGGGCCCTGCAGTATTTGAGGCAACAAGCTCCTCTGGGGTGGTGGGCCCTGCAAGAGCTGGCAGTGCAGTTTCCTCTGTGGCAGTTGGCCCTGAAGGATCTGGTTCACAAACTGTATCAACTGGAGAGTCGGGATCCTCTGGGATGGGCCCTGAGGCAGCTAGAGTGCCAAGCCCTTCTGGGGTGTCATCCTCCCCTGCGATGGGTACAGTAGCCGTTGAAGTAGTCCTCTCTAAGAAAGACTCTGCAAAAGCTGACATATCCTCCTCAGTGATGGCTGCAGCAGCAGCTAGAGCAGTCTTCACTAGAGAGGATACTACAGCAGCTGGAAGAGGAGCCTCAGGAGCAGTCACTGCAATAGTTAGGGGGGCAGCTCTCTCTGAGGCTAGTATTTGAACAGCTGTAACTTCCTCTTCTAAGGTGACCACTTCAGTGGCTGGGATACATGTGTCTATAGTGGCCACTGAGGCAACTGGGATGTCCTCCACTGAGGTCTCTATAGCAGCAGCTGAGATAGCAGGCCCCTTTGAGGCAGACACTGCAATAACTGAGATGTCTTCTAGGGTGGGCTCTGTAACAGTCAGGGCACGTATCTGTTGGTTAGATGTCCATTCCTCTAAAACTGGCTCAGTATTACTAGCTTTGGTAACCTGTTCCTCTGGGAAAACATTCAGGCATGAATCTGAATCTCGCATTTCCATTTCCTCTCTCTGTGATGATGCTAGGTCCAGCTCAGGCTTTTTATCACTCATAGTTTCCACTCCATCTCTTCTATGTCTCAGTTCTCCAGTCAGCAGGTGTAAACCCGGAACTTCTGCCTCTAAAGATTTTCTCTGGAGATCCTGGAAGATTTGCTCTGGGAAGCCTCCACTCCTCCAGAGCTTGGCTTGATAATCCAGCTCTTTTGCCTCACTGTCCTCATCACAAATTTTTTCTGTGGACAATACACATGAGTCCGCATTTCCCAAGCACATCACATTGCTATTTTCTTTATCAATAGCTTCTTTCTCACTTTCCAAATGAATCTCACCTGTTACTAAACTTGAATCAGATGACAACACCTCTATTTCAGGTCTTGAGGTAACATCTCTTAGTTCAGATCTAAATGCAAAACTAAGGGAGAACCTCTCAATATTCTCTTCCACATTCCCCTCATTTTGACTGCATTCTACTTGGGACAAATTGCCATTTTCTTTGACCACCTCAGAAGCAAAAGATAATTTTTCTTCACAAGAAGTGTTATGATCAGAGTTCAGAAATCCTATTGTGTCCAACTCGCCTAGTGATTCCAGATCACCTGGAGACTTATATTTCCCTACACTCTCAAGGTTAAAAGGCACTTTTTCACAGTCCTTGCAAATGTCCCTTATATCAGGATAGGCAGTAAATTCCACAGCATTAGGTACCTGGGAAGAATCCAGGGTATTAATATATTTGCAATCCAATCCAATATCATGGTCCTTTACTTTTATATTTAAAAGGTCTGTGTTCTGTTCCTTATCTAAGGCAGCCCCTGAAAAATGGCTAATTGTAAGTGTATTTTCGGCATTCTGGGATGAGGCCAGCCCTTCAGAAGAGGCTTCATTCTGTAGTTCATCTGAAGGAGTTACTCCTTCACATAAACACTCCTTTTCAAGTTCAAGAAACATCTGTACTGAATCTGTGTCAGAGAACTGCTCTGCATCAACAGGACATTCTAATTCTAAGACAAGATCTTCTAGCTCCTGAACAGTTCTGGTTTTCATCTCATCAACTGAACCCTCACCTGCAAAAACACAACTGCAATCCAGGGGTATATCCTTGGGAGAGGAAGCCAGTTGGTCTCCAGCTGGCTGTGAGTCTTCAGAGCAAGAAATCTGATCAATGGCTACATGGTCAAAAGTCCCCAAGACAGCAGCTAAGCAATCAGTTCCAGCCTCCACCATTGCCACTGTGTTTGCTTGTTCTCTTTCTTCAAAAATGTCTGCCAGGCTGTTCTTCTCATCTGCCATTAGAAAAGTCTTTCCTCCCGTCTCTGACAGTTTCTCTTCCTCCCATTCCTCCTCAGCCTCCATCATGATCCACCGCTCATCCTCCTCAAACTTCAGTTCAGACTCTGTTTTCTCTCTCAGGCTGGCAGTTATGAGAATGGGTAATGCTGGATCTAACAGCTCTTCACTCAAGCAAGGAGAGAGGGGTGGCATTTCCACAGTACAGACTGGGTCTCCAAGTGGGTGCTGCTTCCCACTGAAACCTCCCTTAGCAGAACTTTTCATGGCCCTGGGCCAGGTTGCACTTGAGTATCTGTATTCCTGCATTACATCTGTGTTACCACTTGCTGATGCAGCTTCTGATACCAAAGGCTGGAATTCATGTGGAGAGCTCTCACTGTGCTGCTGGAATCTGAAGTCCTGGCAGTCTCCATTTCCATTTTTCACATCTTGCACTTCTGGAAGAGCCATGCATTTGGACACATGTTCCAAAGTTACTGACTCTGACTGAGGTTGTTCCCTGTGGTCCAAATGACCAGAGCTTTCTGTCAATGCAGAACTGGATTCCTTCTTCTCTTGCAAGGAAGGATTTGAAGCACCAGCTTCTGAAACTTCACTAAGAGAAGCTTCCATCCTTTCTGCAAATTCTGGGAAATTAGGTGGCATGAAGGATTTCCATGATCTCCTGTTAACATTGTCTTTGCGTTCTGCATTAGGCCGCCTTCTGGGTGGCACAGGTGCTGACTTTTGCACATCATTGCTTAGTTTTAAGGCATCAAATATTATTCTCTCATCCAGCTTTTTGCCTTCTGGTGCTCTAGATTCAAAAACATTCGATGCTGCTCCTAATGTACCATTACTAGATATGGTACTACCTTCCATCTTTTCCATGGTGCTTTTTGAAGTCTGATTAAGCTTTGACCCCTGATCAATCTGTTCATTTATCCTCATTGTATCATATATAGATCGCTGTGGAACATAGCAATCCTCTATATAGCCATCCTCATCCTCCCCCTTCCCCAGGCAGGTAGGGTTCCTCCTTAAACAGTCTGGCCTGCTCAATGGTTTACCCATACTGTTTCAGTCAAGATGAACCTTCACTCTTGGCAAAAGCTGTTTTACAGGTTTCCTCAAAATACATTCTACATTAATTATAAATCCTTTCACATGTTTATTCTTCAAGCCACCAATTGCATCTGTTCTCCAGAAAGACCTGGGAGTTACACTTTGAAATCATTCTGGGAGAAGCTCTAAGACAAACAGCTTTCTCCTTGCAGACTAGCAGCTTCATAGTTACAGACAAATAAATGGTATAATTTAATCAACAAACATAAGATAGTTCCTTGTATGGCTTCTATTTTTTGTTTTGTTTTTTTAATTTTTACTTAAGGAGCACTGCTCTTTCACATTCAGTCCACAAAAAAAAATCATTTGATATTGATAAGTCTTGTTCTGTATCTAGTTCCACTCACTTTTCATCAAAGCAGAGTTGGAAGCAGTGAATGTATACCTTGTCCTGTAATAACAATGCCAAAGTCTCCAGTCCTCAAGTATGGCCCAAGCTAAGAATTCCTTTCATTTTATCCTCTATTCCAGTTCTGGAGCGTCCAGCTGGTCTGAATTAGGCCTTCGTCTTCTCTAGTTATGGTGTTTGCATTTGAACTGGGCTGGTCGGCGGATATTCCTGCAACTTTAAACACAGGAAGTCCTTCGTTCCGGGCCAGTTTGGGGTTTCCTGCCTCCAAAACATCATGGCATTGTTGTGGCTTCCAGGCCAACCCTACACCGTGGCCGCAAAACAAGGCGCGTGGAGAGCCCCGCGCCGGGCCTTTAGGAAGCTGGCAGGCTGCAGCAGCGGCCAAGGGGCCGCTGAGGGGCTTGCTCAACACCACCCGTTCCTCCCTAGCGTGCCGCGCGCCCCGAGGGCCAGGGTCACCTCACCGCAGTCGGGCAGGTGGCTTCAGACCGCGCCGGCCTCTGGTCCCGCGCTCAGGAAGTTAGTTGGTCCCTCTGGCAGCTGAGTCCCGAGTGATGTGGGCGCCGCCTCCCCCGCCGCCGCCGCCAGTCCCCCGCCCGCAGCCTCCGTGCCGTGGGCTGCATGACAAGCAGCCGCCTCTATTCTCCGCCGCGCTGCGGGCCCCGCGGCCCCGTCGTCCTCCCTGCCCGCAGCTGTCACGGCACGCAAACTTCTGGCTGGGAACAAAAGGCTCCGCTCCGTCCGGGCGGGGGAAGAGCCGCCTGCCTTGTGCCGCGAGGCCCTTTCGTTCGCCGCTCGCTGGAAGTGCTTGGCCGGCGGGCGGCTCTCCTCCTGCTCCCTGCTCCGCCGCCGCCACCGCGCTGCCCCGCCCGGGCAGCCCCCCCCCTGGAAGCTGGGGAGCGCGCCGCGCCAAGAGCCCAGGGAGGAGGGCGGGGGCGGGGCTCAGGGGGGCGGGCCCGGGAAAAAGGAGACCCTGGAGGGGCGGCGGACAGGATTGGAGGCCTTGGAGCCGAGGGAGGGGCTTCTACCGGGTTCGGAATGAGGCATGGCGGGCGCCATCCGCTTGGCTCGGAAGCCCACGCCCAACGCGCCCCAGGGCCGAAGGGGAAGCCCCGCCCCCTGGGAGGGCGCCCAGCGGAGAGCCGCACCAACCGGAGCCTCCGCGTGCCCCGCAAATCCCCTGACAAAGGAAAGCCCCGCCTCCTTCCGCTGGCCCGGCCTCTTCTCACTCCCGGCTCCTTCCAACCCGTGGGCTCCGAGCCAGCCCAAGGGCGAACAAACCCAGAAGGGGTGCCCCCGCCTCCCCGCTGCCGGCTGGTTCGCGCGAGGGCCACGCGGGGCTCCATCTGCTGGCAGGGTAGTGCAGTGTGGCGGGTCGCCGGCAAGATTCTAGGCTCCCACTTGGCCGCCAAAGGTTATCCCTAGTCCTCCAATATCACCTTGTGCAGGCCGGGTGCCAGAGGAAGAAGGCTCCACCCTTAAACCCAGAACTTTGCTGGTGTCTCAAGGAATTCCATCATGCCTGGAGACCAAGTTACCAAATAAATTCTAGGCAGTCTACCTGTCTTCCCTTTCTCAAGCTAATCCGTTCATACTTCTACCCCAACTTCTCCACCTACAGACCTTAGAGGTGTCAAACGACAAGGGGGCGCGGCACCCCACGCTCAAAACACCTGGGGTCCTTTATTGCTATGCACATCTTAGGAAACCAGATCCTGCTTAGGACTAGAGGAAAAGCATGGGTCTGTATTTCAAATCTCTGAAAAGAAAATATTACAGAAACATGCTTTACAATCTCGTCCACAATCTTTTGGCTTTTAGAAATGCTATGTCCAGTTAAACAAAGAAAGTACAAAGGCAACCCAGGAAGCTGTTCACTAGAGGCAGCTGCATCTCAGAGATGCCTTTGTGATGACGGTCACTCTTCAATTTTATGAAGGAAAAAAGAGAGTCCAGTAAAATGTCTGAATCGCTGTTGGATCATGTGTCAACATGGATTATAAAACTTATGGAAAAGTTATTCCTACCCCTCACAGTAGTTGGTGATGTAGATCTGGCACTGAAACCCTGAGCTAAGCCTTGGGCTTGACAAAACTGAGGTATGGGCTGAAGCCAGTGAGCAGAATTAACACACTTTCTCTGGCAAGAAAGACGATCAGTTCTCATTGTTGATCTGCTAATTAATTCTACCCACTTGGATACAAAAGAATCCTCTCATCTATAAATTGAGAGTACAGAGAGATAGATTAGACTATGTCTCCACAGCTTTATTACTTTTAATATTCTTTAGTTCTAATTTTTTAAGGAGAAGCTCAGAATCCTGTGAAATCTTGGTCTATACTGCAAGATAGTAGGAACCCTGTCCAATGAACACACAGTAGGAAGAAACAAGAACACTTGACCAAAGAAATAAAGCTCTAGGAGATGTGATCAACATGAAGTGTCTGGAGAGATGGGATGTGGGAGGGGAAAAAAATGTTCTAAATGTCTCCTTAAGCTGGCATACTAAAATCCAAGGGCAGATTTCAAACCAACAAAGAGCTTTCTGGCTGCTATTCAAAGAAAACAGTGTCCCTTATTAAGGTGACTTACCTGAACCCACAGGTACTTGAGAAGAAATTCAAGCAAGAAATTTAGATATATATATATATATTTACAAAATCGCCAGTTTGTTCAGGATGTTTTAAAGTTCATCCTAACTCTGACACATTGTGACCTTAAGATTTGATCAACTTACAGATCTGGAACTTAACAGTTCAATAAATCTATGTTTAAATTTTTCTTTTAATTGGTCAGTACAATTGGGAAAACCCAATGAAGACAAGATCAATTTCACTAGCAAATCTCCCTAGCCAAATACATTTACTTAAGTGTTCAGATACCATAACAGACTGCTTAGCATGCCAAGAGCCCTCTGGCTGGAAGAATCTGAGGAATTCTGGCTCTGGACTAAGGGTGGGTAGTTATTCTGTTATAAAGAATGATTTGATGTGTAATCACAACCTTCATGGTTAGAAATTCCTTTCCTGTTTCCTCACCAAGTCAGGTGCCAATCAATTCAGTCTTTTTCTTAATTAACACCACCCCTTCTTATCCAAATTATTCTACCCATCTTATCAGTAGTTCAATAAAATAGATCATTCCAGCAACTGTGAAGTTCAGATTCAAATTACTTTTCAGCTTTAGTCATACTCTTAATTAAGGGTTAGAAACTTCTGATAAGCTGAAACATGGCCAACCTACAGAAAACATTACATAGCCAGGCGCTAGTGGCTCATGCCTGTAATTCTAGCTACTCAGAAGGCTAAGATCTGAGGATCTCAGTTCAAAGCCAGCCCAGGCAGGAAAGTTTGTGAGACCCTAATCTCTAATTAACCAGAAGTGGAGCTGTGGCTTTAATGGTAGAGCTCTAGCCTTGAGTATAAAAAGCTTAGTGACAGCACCCAGATCCTAAGTTTAAGCCCCAGGACAATACATTAAAACAAAAACAAAACCTTCCTGAGTGCTTTGCTTATTTGCCCCGCCTTCCTCATTACTATGTATTTTAAAAAGAAAGCATAAAGTCTCTTTCCTCTTTCTTTTTATCTGTTCATGAGTTTGTCTTTACTTTTGGTATGTGGAACTCTGCCAATAGCCATTTCAGTGACTGAAATAAATACCTGGTACAACTTTCAGCCTCTTGGTGCTCTGATAGCTATAACAAAAAAAAGCATTTGTGAATTTCACATGCCATGTGTAAAGTTTTTAAAAGAGAAGCTTTCTTAAAAAGAGAGTTTCAGAGTACCTCTTCAGATACTTTCCCCACCCCTGAAACCACAAATGTATGTGCTCAAGCCACATTTCAAATTAGTTTCCAGTTAGTGGATTATAGAGCTCAAAGAATTCCATACTCATTTTGAAATTCCTAAGAACAGGATTTGGTGTCAGATTTTCCTTCAGTGAACCTAGAAGAACAATCCTGGCTCTTTTTAGCTCCTTCCTGCTGTCTTCTTAATTAAAGGCAGCTGGGTGGAGTCTCCTCACACTCTAACACAGCTCCCTTTCCAAGTTTTGGACTTGGCACTTTGCCTTTGTCTCCCTCGATCTGAACTGTCAGCCCACTAGGACAATCTACAATCCTACATCTACTTTTTTTAAAAATTGATTTTCACACCGTACAGAGGAGTTACAATTACATGGGCAAGGTAATGAGTACATTTCTTATCAAGCATTGTTGCCTCCTCCTTTGTTTCCCCTTCCCATCCATCCCTTCCCATCTCTCCCCTGCCACCCCCCCATCTACTCTTCAGGTACTAAAATGCCTTTCTTTTCATCTACCTTGATGGGAACTCTCTTTTGGAATAAAAGAGGACACAATAGACTGGTTGGATCTTGCTCATTTTAGATCTACAAAATGCCTTTCATCTTAGGATATCGAGATTTTACATGCTTTATTTACAAGTGGAAACTCCACAGTATTAGTCTGTACCTGTTAGGCATCTGTCATTAACATCCTTTTGTGCTTTCATTATTATAAATTTGGCTACAGAGTGGTTCAAAAAGCAACACAATATGGTGTGGAGTTTGTTTTAAATGGGAAACTAAGGATTTCAAAGCT